TTCAATTTTACAATACATAACAATCTTACAAATACTTCAGATAGAAAATAAAACAAATTGATACACACCACATTCGGTCTTGCTCGCCCATTTCACCCCAAACCGCATCCCACCTCAAACCAATTTACTTCTTTCCCTCTTTTTCTTCACTTTTCCTCTCTCCTCCTTCACCTCCACTTTCCTACTTATTTCTCACCTTCTTCTTCTCCCTCTTGATGCGGTCCAGGGGAAATGCCTGAGCAGTTCCTCTCTCAAAATTAAAACATTAATATTATATACAATAAGACTATTTCTACTTTATCTGAACTACTTAAACTTCAACCCATCCACCCCCCTTCCCCCCCTCCCCCCCCGACTTCCCAGAGCAAAATACAGGATTATGCAAACATATTAAACATAATCTGTTTAAGTTTACTAATTATACGATGAACAAAATCATAAAAACCCTTAACTCTCTTCAAACTTTAACATCATAAGTTTATAAACAAAATCATTACTCATAGAATAAGTGAAACTTTGTAGTTCCATATTTCTTCTGAACATATTCTATCCATCTTCTCCATATGTTAAAATAGCTCTCTTGTGAATGGTCCTTTAAATAAGCAGAAATTTTAGCCATTTCTGCTAAATTAGAAACCTTAAATACCCATTCTTTAGGTTGCAGGTTCGCGTACATAAAGAACAACTTTTTAGGATCCAGATGCCATCTATAAAACATTTTGTAAAAATTGTCCCTCAAATTCTGGGCCTGCGTAAATTTAACATTTCTAGTCCAAATTACCTCCCATAAATCCAATGAGATGGGTTCTTGAATATTCTGGGCCCATTTAATCATACAATCTGTAACTAACTCTGTTTCTGAATCCAATTTTATTAACTTATTATAAATTCTTTTAATATGGGCACATTTCTGCTCCTTGATCTGAATTACCAAATTTTCATCTACTAAAGTAATTCCCACTTTCTTATCCAAAGTCCATCTCTGCACGATTTGCAAATATTGAAACCACGATTGTAAAATGTTTTCTTGCCTTAACACATCAGAAGACTTTAATTGCCAATCAGTAGCCGACCAAATAAGTAACTCTTTATACAAAATGTTGTCAAAATTCACCCCCTTGGAAACCCCCTGGATTGCTTGTCCAGGGATCCCCCAAATAGGTATTTTATAATTTAATTATAATAATATTTTTTCCAAACTCGAAGTAAAGCATATCTTAAAATATGTGACTTAAAGACCGAATCTACTTTCTTATCAAAAATTAAATATGCATGCCAACCATATAATAAATCCCACCCTTCAAGAACAAGAATATCTCTATTTGTTAAATTAAGCCAGTCACTTACTAAAGTTAAAGTGGCCGCATCATAATATAATTTCAAATTTGGTGCTTTAAGTCCACCTCTTTCTCGAGCATCTTGTAAAATCTTAAACTTTACCCTTGATTTCTTCCCGCCCCAAATAAATTTATTAATACCCTTCTGCCACTCATCCAAATTAGCATCCTTCTTTAAAATGGGTATCATCTGAAACAAAAAAAGAAACTTTGGTAGAACATTCATCTTCACTACTGAAATTCTCCCCAATAACAATAGTTGTAGCTTTTGCCAATCATTTAAATATTTTTGAACTTTAACCCGTAAGCGTTCATAATTATTCTTATACAATTTTCCATTAGATGTTGTAATATAAACTCCTAAATACTTAACCTTATTAACTATTTCATAACCGGTTGTTTCAGCTATAAAATCTTTTCCCTTCCTAGACATATTTTTCAATAATATTTTAGTTTTATTCTTATTTACCTTAAAACCAGAGACATGTCCATACTGTGCTAAAATTTCAACCAAATCTTTGACTGAATCTGTTGGATGGGATAATGTCACAACCAAATCATCAGCAAAAGCTCTCAGCCTATAATCAATCTTACTTATTTTTATTCCTTTTAATCTAGATGAGTTTCAAATTTTAATAAGTAAAAACTCCATTGTTAATACAAATAGCAAGGGGGATAAAGGACAACCCTGTCTTGTACCTTTTCCTATTTTAAATACGTCTGTTAATCCCCCATTAACTATAATTTGTGCCGATTGTTGTTGATAAATGGCCTTGAGAGCAGACATGAATTTATCTCCAAAATTCATTTCCTCTACAACTTTCAATAGAAAATTCCAATCTAATTGATCAAAAGCTTTCTCAGCGTCTATAAATATTAAAGCAGCAGGGATTTGGTTGTTCTTATCCAAATACTCTATTAAATTAACAATTTGTCTTACATTGTTTTGCATATATCTCCCCATTATAAATCCAGATTGGTCAGTATGAATCAATTGTTTCAAAACCTGCATTAATCTATTTGCCAGTATCTTTGCAAAAATCTTATAATCTGTATTTAAAAGAGATATAGGCCTAAAATTTCTAGGTTGGGACAGATCCTGGTCATCCTTTGGAATTAATGATATGAAGGCCATTCTCCAAGATGGAGGTAATTCTGCTCCAGATAAAATATCATTAAAAAGTACCTTTAATGGTTCTATCATTTCTTCAGATAACATCTTGTAATAAATCGCTGTTAACCCATCAGTACCTGGAGTCTTACCAACCTTCAATTGTTTAATTGCAAAAATAATCTCTTCAGAAGTAATTAAACCATTAATCTCATCACATTGATCACTCGTAAGTCTAGGAAAATGTGCTCCCTGTAAATATTTTTCTATATCTGAAGTTTGTATACTTTCACTAGCATATAATTTAGAATAAAAATCTAAAAAAGACTTTTTAATCAAATTTTGTTGGTAGATTTCTTTATCTTTATAAATTATTTTATCTATAATCCTCAATTTCTGTTTCTTACGTAATTGATAAGCCAACCATCTACCAGGTTTATTTGCATTACAAAGTGTATTATGTCTCACATACCTCAAATTAGTTGCCATTTGATCTGCTAATAACATCTTAAATTGCTCCTTCAGCAAAGTAATAGAAACTTTTAACTTATTGTCCATTGGATTTGATATTAAAATCTTTTCCTTACATTTAATCTCATCTTCAAGATCTTTACGTTTCTGGGTCTGTTTACATCTGTGAGCATTATTCATAGAAATCAAACCCCCTCTCATATACGCTTTACAAGAATCCCATACCATTGGCATCAAAGTACCCTTATTCATATTCCAAGCAAAAAATTCCTTTAAATAACCTTTACATTGCTGTATATTCTCTTCATATCTAAATAAATTCTCATTCAACCTCCAAGACCTTCTAGTTCTTTCTTCCGATGAAATTTCCAACCATACCGGACCGTAGTCTGAAATTATTCTAGGAAATATCTTGATATTCTTCACCCTAGAAAGGAAATCACTAGTAACCAAGAAAAAATCAATTCTAGAATAAGATTGGTGTCTATCCGAAAAAAAAAGTAAAGTCTTTTTCCTTAGTATTCCGTTCTCTCCAAATATCTCTAAGTTCCAAATCATCCTTTAAGTCAAAAAAAAAAACTTTAGGGAGTCTTGCATGGTTAGAAACTTTAAAGAGACCCTTCTTATCTTTACTTGAGTCTAAAACACCATTCCAATCTCCCATCATAATAACTGACTTATAATCCAAAGAAGTTAATTTCTGGTGAATCAACTTATAAAAATGTTTTTGTTGTTGATTGGGAGCATATAAACCAACAAGAAGAGTTCTCTTATCATTTATTAGTAAATCAATAATAACATATCTTCCTTGTAAGTCAAAATCAATTAACTTCGGTGAAAGCTCCTTTCTCACATAGATAACTACTCCTCCTTTTTTCTGCAAAGCAGGAGCTATAAAATGTATCCCCAGCCGGGGATTAAACAAATATTTTTGATCTTTAGAAATAATATGAGTCTCTTGTAAACAAATAATATCATTTGTGTGTTGTTTCAAATAATGAAAGATTTTCTTTCTCTTCTGTGGTGAGTTAAGCCCATTAACATTCCAGGTTAGAAGCTTTCTAAAACTTCAACTGCCTCTCCAGTAACTCAGACTGTACAACAACCCAAACCTAAACCTTCTCCATTTTCGTCCCCACCTCAGGCACTTACACTTCAGGATTTACAAGATGCTTTAGATAAGACTTTGGAAAAATCACTAGAAAAAACAGCAGAGCTTCTGGCTCAAGAAAGTAATGAGCTCAGGAAAGATATTGTTTTGGACGTTTTGAATCCATTTAAAAAAAAGGGAGGGTTTCCCCCCTTCCCTTTTTCAAAAAATAGTAATATAAGAACAAAGGAGAAGAAAAAGCAATTCCCCCTTAAAAAAAAGGGAATAAGAATTTTTCCCCTTTAAAATGAACCAAGTCTATTACATTGTTAAAACTTTGTTGCCAGTTTAAAAATAGTAAGTAAAAAATAGAAAGTGAAAGTTCTCAAACAAAGAAAGTGACAAAGAAGGAGGATTCCTCCGCCATATTTCTTCACTCCAATTAGAATAGTAACAGGAGTAGATGTTAATTCAAACTGAGTTAGGTTTAAAGTAAAGTCATCAATTCTTCTCTTCCTGACCGCTCTGTCTGCTTTTGAGTTAACTTACTGTTCCCATCAGATAGCAGCAGTGGAGGCAGTGTCTAGCTTCGTTCTCTTCGGAGAACAAAGGCATCCAAGGAAATGGAGCAACACCCAGACTCTGAGGGAGCTCTCACTTCATCTCCCAGAAAAAAAAACTAGGGAAGTTGTGAGGCTCTACCTCTATCCAGGCAGAAGCTCACCTCCCTCCCTTCACCCGGGAGGAAAGTTTCAAGCCGCAAAACAGCTGATTGTTGCTGTTTTGCCAGCTTTTACGATTTCCCAGGATGGGCAGCTGTCAAACAGCGGCCATCGGCACTGGCACACATATATTAAGTTTCATGCACTTAATATATGTGCTTTTTAAAAAATATATGGAAAAAATATTTTTTTTTATTTTAAGAGAAACCAGAGTATGAATACTCAGAGAAAAAGCAGAAGAAAGAATAGCGGAATGTGAAAGTTCATACCAATTTCAATGTATGGACATTTTTAAAAAAACGGCTATAATGTACACGGTTATCTTTTTTTAACTTGGAAGATCAGACAGTCGGGAAAGGCTGTGACCACCAACTTCAGTTTTTCTGGCTGGTGAGGCCACTTGAGTAATGAGATTAGAGAAAGACTTGCAAAGACGCTCAGCACTGAGCAGCAATGCTTCAGAGGGATAACCTGAAAGAACAAAAACAACAACAAAAATATGTGGAATCAATGTAGGTTTGAACTGATAAACATTCTACCAGCTTGGCTCACAGAAAACAAAATAATTTCAGTCGAATAAAAAGTTGCATACAAGATTGTGATGAAAGTTATTTGATACAAACCTGAAAGCTGGCTTTGTGAGAACAAGGATCAGACTCAAATCCAATCCATTAAGAGCTTCTCTGCAGAAAGGAAAGGCTTGTCAATAGGAGGAAAGTTCAGAGCTGTTTACTCAGCTGCTGTATTTCTCTATGAATAAATGCAGCTGGAGTTGGGAAGATCTCACTTTTTTTCCCCTTAAATGTTTATTCATTTATTTGTCCTTTCTGACCTGCTGGGGAAAAAACTGCCAAAGGTATTTTTCTTAGAAGGGCTGCTAATTCATCCCTTCAACTAGAAGCAAATACATGAAGGTCTCTGCAGTTTCCTTCAATAGATGCCATGTGTCAAAGATGCCAGGTAAAGTATTAAGATTTCAGGGATGAGACCCTCCCAGGCCAAGCTATAGGGGATGATATTTTTGATCCAGTGGCGGCAGGGTGGGCGGGCTTCATTGTACACTGAAAGTAGAGATGCATTATCAGGGCCATTGGAGTTTTATGCACTCTTGGCCTTTTTTTAAAATGTGATTAACAAAATTGTAATGTTCAGGATGACAGAAGGAAAATATTATTAAGAACATAAATGAAGCATGGAAAGAGCTTTGTAGAAACGATTCTTCCTCTCCCCCCTTATTTCCTCAGCTACAAATTGCTACTTGCATATTTTAATCCTCCTTTAGACATTTTTAACTCATATCTGTTTGGATCATTTTAATAACAATAATAACAATAACAACAACTTTATTGTCACTTTGAATGTACACCAATTGGCATACCTCAAAATGAAATTTCGTTGCATACAGCTCTCAAAGGGCCACCACCTCCGATATACACTCCTTGTTTGTGGCCAGCTCAAGTTTCAGATCGTCAATTTTAGTCTCTAGGGAGCAAATGATGGCAAACAGGACAGATGGAAACGGAGCTCCATGTGGATTAGCCCTCAAATTAGCTCGTATTCCTGCACAACAACCTTGCCTCCTTTCTTTTTTTCTGATCCTGTCTCTTCCACCTTTTCCTTAAAGAGGCCTCACTCCTTTTTGCCCCTGGAGAACGCTGCGGCCACTACCCACTCCTCCAAAAGCCTCTCTCCCATCCTCTGGGCCTGCCGACAGCCTCATCCAGTTCCTTCGCTCCGTAAGCCCCAGCTCCTGGACCGCTCCTCCTCTGCCTCCTTTGGAAACAGACCTGATTTGCAGTAGCATCCATCGCTGGGCTAACAGTCAGATCTTGCTGCTGGCAGAACAATTTCAAACAGCTCCAACGACTTTTAACGGTCTCACCAACAGTTCTGAAACAGTTAGAAACTTGCCATGCCAGCAAAGATTGTCAGTTGTATGTTACCTTAGTTCCACCACGTTGCTCAAACACATCAAAACCTTCCTGATCATGTGGCCCATATCCCTTAATACCCCTCCCAAAACTTTTCACCTTCAAGAGCCAATGTAGCTGCAGCCGATCCAGTCGCTGCTGTCAGACCCAGCGTGATACCTACCTGCCAATATCCCTATGTCCAGCGTCGGCTGTTACGATGGGTGATCCAGGCACTCCCAGTCGATCTCAATGGCATTGTGAGCTGCACCGCCAATGCTGTTACAAGATTGTTGCTGGCACCTCTACAGCGGCAGGCGAGCGGACCATGTGACCACCTAACATGGATAGCAGACGTTCGGACAACCGCTATGCATTGCCGCGAGTGGGAGGGGCCGAATTAGGGAAGCGTAATATGTTATAGTTTTGGCTGGGACGCTGGGTCTGACAGGTTTGGACGCTGGGGTAGCAGGAGAACGGTGTGAATGCAACACTTGGACTCAATGTAATAATGGATTTACATGTTGGTTAGGCTGGGCGTGGTGTGGGTGGAGTTTTATCACGGGGGATGGCTCGGCATAGCACGGGTGGAATCTCGTTATGAGTGGTAATTGGGGTGTGTACTCTGGGCGTGGTGATGTGGTGTATTTAGAGTGCTGGAGCAAGGTCCCTCCCAGTGCTAACTTCGTTTTCAACATAGTGAATAAAACTTGTTGGATACTGCAACGTTCCTGTTTCTTGGCTTTCCTGAAGCACAGTTAGGACGTTCTGTCAGCTGCCATCTTAGAAGATGGTTATACAACAAATCACCAGGCCCAGATGGAATTCCGGTCGAGTTTTATAAAAATACACAAGAGTCACTACAATGGATAATGTTGGAGATTTACAATGAGGTGTTGGAAGAGGCGAAGATACCGACAACTTGGACTGAAGCAATCATCACTCTCATTCCTAAGGAAGACTCAGACCTACAACAAATTCAAAATTATAGACCAATTTCTTTACTGAATACAGATTATAAGACATTTACAACAATAATAGCAGAAAGGATAAAGAAAATTTTGAATAATTATATTCACCCAGATCAAAATGGATTTTTACCAGGACGACAAATAAAAAATAACATGAGGATAATACTGAATACTTTAGAATTTTACGAAGTTCATCCTGAAAGACAAGCTACGCTGGTTTTTCTTGATGCCCAGAAGGCATTTGATAATTTGAATTGGAATTTTATTATAACACAATTGTACTATATGGATTTTGGGACAAAATTTGGAAAGATGGTTGAGAAAATATATACTAAACAAACAGCTAGGGTAATTATAAATGAGGAAATGACAGAAAAAATTGATATAACCAAAGGAGTAAGACAAGGATGCCCACTTTCTCCTCTTCTATTTATTTTATCATTGGAAATACTTCTTACAAAAATCAGAGAGGACCAAGAAATAAAGGGTTTAAAAATTAAAAAGGAAGAATATAAGGTCCAGGCCTTTGCTGATGACTTGGTATTTATTTTGGAAGATCCATTAGAAACCGGCTTTAAATTGATTCAAAAAATAGAAGAATTGGGTGAGGTAGCCGGATTCCACTGGGAATCTGCTATTCTACCAGAGCCTATCAAGAGATTTAAAAAGACTCCCAGTGGCTGGATCAAGTGTCATCAAGTACTCGGTCCCAGATTGATCCATCAAATATGGTCATGCACAGATCATATTCTAATTCAGACCATCCCAGAAATAACAATTTATGATATAAAATATGTTTGTCATCAGGGATTGAAACAGAGTATTGTATGCAAAATATGCATTTCTTAAAATATTCTGCTGGACACTCACTTTTCAGAGCAAGCACTCAAAACAATATTCTTTTACTATGCCCTGAAGCTAAACACTTTCCAAAATAAGGTTACAGTTAAATATGTAGGCTCCGATCTGCATTTTAGATCATTTTATAAGTGTATGATGCTCCCTCTCCCCCTTTGACAAAGTTGCTTTGTGAAAAGACCTTCAAAGTAGTCTCTTTTTTTGTCTCCATGTTTAAATAGGTTTTATTTCAAGAAGTCTGTAAATCAGACAACTCTGCTATTTTGATGTTTTGGCTGCAGATTAGGCTGCAGATTTTCACATGCTGTCCAAAATGGTGATGGGGACATGTTGGGAAAAGGAATGAGCCAGGATGTTTACTTTTTTCATGGCAACACAAAAAGTTACATCTTTCTCTTTGGATTAAGATTTGGTGGAATATTCAAGAGATTTTTAAGAGAAAGATAAAGTTTACTCTGCAATTATTTTTGCTGGGTATTATTGTAGATTCTGATGTCAAAGAAATTGATTTGATGCTGAATCTTATAACAGCTGCAAGATTACTTGTGGGGCAATATTGGAAGAAAAACTCTTTGTCTACTATGGAAGAATGGATAGTTAAGGTGTCTAACTTAGCAGAAATGGCGAAAATCTCCGCCTATTTGAAGGATCATTCACAAGAAAAATATATTTTGGTTTGGAGAAGATGGATTGATTATATTCAAAAGAAATATGAGACTGAAAAGTATTATTTGGCTTATGAGTAGATTTTAGATTATTTTTAATAGTTCAATATGGTTGAATTTTTAGTATTATAGTTTAATTGTATTATTATTTTTGTTTTTAATTTGTTAATACTTGTTTTGAAAAGGAGTTAAAGTGTGTTATGGATTTGATTGATAGTATAGTCGGGTTATGTTAGTTAGATTATGTTTGTTTATTTTTTACCCTGTAATCAGCTCTGGGAAGTGGGGGAGGGGGGGAAGGGGTGGGAGGGGTTTGGGTTATAATGTATTAAATTTGTAAAACTTTTAATAATAATAATAAAAAGTTACATCTTTCTCTTAGAAGAGAAGGTAGGAGAAAGAAAAGATGAGAGCGGGAAGAGGAAGAGAAAGGGGAAAAATAGACAGTAGACATCACATTAGCTATGGTGCAATACTGTATAGCAACAAAAGACAATGGAACCAAGTGTATGATTTTTAATAAGTATGTTGGAAACAAAAAGACTTACAGAATATAGAATAACAGCATTGGAAGGGAGGCAAGCCATTCCAATGATTAATTGTTCTCAGTGTCAGAAAATGTCTCCTTAATTTTAGTTTGGATATCTCTTTTGGATATCACCTTCTCTTCCCTATGACAGCCCCTCGAATATTGGCAGACAGCTATCATGTCACACCTAATCCTTTTTTTTTAGACTAGATGTATCTAATTCACTGAACCGATCGTCATATGACTTAGCCTTCCAGACTCCTAATCATCTTTGTTGCTCTTCTCTGAACTCCTTCTAGACTCTCAACATTTTTTTTAATCAGGGAGATCCAAACAATGTGATCTTTCTAGTGAAGTATAAAGTGTTACTAACACTTCACATGATCTTAATCGTATTTCTCTGTGAATGCTGCCTAGGACTGCATTGGCTTTTGGGGCAGTAGCAGCACACACCAGACTTAAGTGGTCGTCCATTAGGACATCTAGATTCCTGTCACAGTTACTGCTGTTGAACCAACTCCAACCTATTCTTTACTTGTTCATTTGGTTTTTCTTTCTAAATGTAACACTTTACTTTCTCACCACTGAATTGCATTTTGTTGGATAGGGCGCAGTGTTCAAGTCTGTCAAGATCCTTCTGTATCTCGAGTCTGTCTTCTAAACTGTTGGCTGTTCTCCCCAGCTTGGTGTTGTCTCCAAATGTGATTGGTTCCCTTTTATTTCCACTTCTAAATTATTTATGAA